AAAAAAAAAAAAAGAAGGAAAAGACCAAAAATAACACTTGAACCTGAACTGAGCTGCTTTATAGCAACTGCTGGTTTGGTTCTGAAAAATGTGGATGGGTCTGTTGTTTAAAAAGGAGCATAAATTCTTGCGGTCAATAAAAGGGAACTTATGTAAAAAATGGTTCCAGGAGTAGTCCCTGCGTTAAGTGTGAACTAAAGCTGATCTGGGAACAGGACCCCAGGTCTGAATCAAGGAAACACCATGGTTATGCATGGTTTCACATTCTAGTTAAATAAAGGGAAAAGAGAAGAATATCCCTGAAAGGAAGAGAAGGATGACTACCTAGTCTTACTGTTAAACAAAACATTAGGCTGACCATAACAGAGGAAACACACAACACAAACAAACCCAAATGTTCAGTTTCTCAATCTCTAACTTAGCAGTAGCCATCTTTTCTGATATTCTCCCTTTTCCCCCCACTTTAAATTATTTCTATTACTTGTGTTATTGGCATAAAAGTACAACCAAGTTATAATTTACCCAAAAATAAACAGAATCACCAGGAAGATGGAAGCAGTCACTAGACATAATTCAATGTACATTTAAATTATACATGGTCATGTAATTCCCCAATGACTAAGCAGTGTGCATTTACTAAAATAAAAAAGATATTTATTTTTAGTATAATTTTTCTTCAAACAGCATTTTCTATTGCCATCTTGCCTAATGACTGAGGAGGCTCTGGAGAATATTTTAAAGTTCATGAAATTCCTTATCTACTGAAGGATGGGGAGGGCATCGATGAACTAAGTGACAGATCTTGATTTGTCTATAACATTTTGGAGTATAATCAGAGAAACTACATTTATAAATTCAAAAATGGAAAAAGTACACTAAGATAGCTGTTTGCATATTCTCTCTATATACATATATATATTCATTTATCTTTACACGAGCTGTCTATGCTTAAGATTTAGGGAAACACAACCTTCCTTTTGTTTAAATTATTTCCATGGAGAGTGGTATTAGTGATTATTTGTTATTTGCTGCTTCTGGGGAGAATACAGTTTCTTGATAGTCTCAATTTGTGTCACATGGAATCCTGAGATGCTAACCCCATTCTTTCAAGATTACACTTCATAAAAAAAAAAAAAAAAAAAGAAATCTGTGTACCACTTTAGATGTTGAAATTAAAAATAATATAAATTTATAAAATTAGGTTTGACAAACAATATTCAAATGAAATATAGAAAACAGAGATTTACCTTCTTTAATTCTTGTTCAATTTCAGGGAGTTTTGCCTCCATATCTCTGATTGCAGTTTTCCTTTCTTTGAGAGTCTCAGAAGCTGCAATTAAAGCTTCCTTGGCCTTAGTTAATTGAGACACTGCAGTGTTATGACGACTGAGATAGATATCAAGTTCTGATTGGGCTACCTCCATCTTTGAACGTGCTTCATTTACTGATTTGCTGAAACCCATAAGTTCTTTCTCTCGACTCTGTTAAAACATTAGTCCATCAAATTTAAAATATATCTATTTTCTAAATCTAAACTGAATGCATACCATACATTTAAATTCAATTTAATAAAGGAGAGTCTACAAGCATAGTGTTAATATATATGGAAATAAAGAATTCTTACAAGTGGGCTAGGCTAACATTTTTTGGCTAGTTGTCAACGTTCACTGCTCTTGAAGTCTTTTTCCAATTGATTTCGTAAGAGCTTTGTGAGTTAGATCTTATTATGCTTATCTTTTTTTTTTTTTTTTTTTTGAGACAGAGCCTCAAGCTATCACCCTGGGTAGAGTGCTGTTGCACCACAGGTCAGAGCAACCTCCAAATCCTGGGCTCAACCGATTCTCCTATCTCTGCCTCCCAAGCAGCTGGGACTACAGGCGCCCACCACAACACCCGGCTGTTTTTTGGTTGCACTCAGTCTTGTTTGGTGGGCCTGGGCTGGATTCGAACCTGCCAGCTCAGGTGTATGTGGCTGGTGCCTTAGCCGCTTGAGCCATAGGTGCCAAGCCTTATTATGCTTATTTTAGATATTAAAACAAAAAAGGACTGGAAGAGCTAATAAACTTGGGCCTAAACTCTAGATTACATAATATGTAAGAACTATTCAGCACAAAGTTTCCTAAAGTATATTTGTGTTGAAAATCTTTACATTATGTGGAAAAAAGAACACCCATTTAAATTTAACACTTGTCAGTAACACAGAGAGCCATGTAAGGGGTACTCAACTGTATATCAAACGAGCAGACAGTGAAAACCCACTACCCATAAAGTACAACTTATTCTACCATAAAAGCTACTGCATTATCCACTGCCACTTGTTCACAAAGGCATCCTACTCACGAAGTTTTGTAGTGTTACATTACATTATGGCCACATTCCAAAGCAGAACCTATTTAGTCTGTGTTCTTTTATGCAGTCAATTCAATTACTGGTATCTATTAAAATATGCATTTAACATGCTCAGCACTGTAAAAAAAAGGTGGAGGTAAACATAAAGAGAGCTAACTTCGTGTTTATACTCCTGTTGGGTAGACTAGTGTGAGAACCTCATTCTCTGTTGCTAAAGTAACAACACGTATTCACATCTTTTTAGGTACTTTATATAATATGAACACGTTTACCTGTGCTTTATGTGACCCTAGGCTTATAGGTGACAACTTATTTGTTACAGGAAATAATTTGAGATGAAAAAGAAAAGTGGTGATGATTCAAAAAGCTTAAGAGTGGCAGGCACATAATACTGATCAAAGTACTATATTTGACATCACATTTCTACAACCAGCACAAATTCTCATTAACTTTTTTATAAAAATGGGAAATCAGAAAGACAAGTCTAAGTCTTGGCTGACTAATTTTAGAAATGTTAGCTATTAAAAGTCCTAACTTTCCCTTTTAATAGTTTTTAGTATTACTGTAAAAACAATCTTGAAGTTAAAAAAGGGGGGAGGGGTAGCAAAAAATAAACACTGATGAAGTCTTACTTCTTTTTCTTTCTGAAGATCTTGTGTTTCCTGTTTAAGGCTATCCATAACTTCTTTTAATTTTTTTTCTTCTTTCTCTTTTTCCTTCTCAAGGGCATTGTTTCTAGTTGTGGTCTCAGTTATGATATTCTTACTCTTGGCAGGTATACTTTTAAATTCTTCAACCTGAGATTATAAAACAGATTAATGTTATAGGAGCATATACCTTCCAGCTATCTGATATTATTAATATTTGGCTTATCTGCAGGATCCTCCACATCTTTTGCTGCTTTCTTTGTAATTAAACTTGAACTAACTGTATTAAACAAGTATTTTCCTAACCATTCACTGTAATTTTTACATTCCCTCAGTCTGATGGTAAAACTAATTTTATAAACTCCTAATTATCCTTCTTTAGATATAAACATGGTCTGAGCATGTGGACTTTCCTAAATTATCCTTCATGGTATAGCATAACTTACCACAAATTATCTCCCCCCCTCAATCCTAAAATCTTTCACAACTTTACTTTTCCACAGGTTTAAAAGTATAGGTATAGGGCGGCGCCTGTGGCTAAAAGGAGTAGGGCACTTGCCCCATAAGCTGGAGGTGGCGGGTTCAAACCCAGCCCCCGGCCCAAAAACTGCAAAAAAAAAAAGAAAGAAAGAAAGAAAGAAAAGTGCAGGTATAATACATATACCAGTGTAAAGGACAAATTCTACCCCATTTGGAGTTATTCCCAAATCCTTATTATTTTGTTCACTTTGAGCTCTAGTACTAGAGTGTCAGCATTTCCCAAAATATGCATTCCTGGCCTGGAATGGTGGCTCACATCTGTAACCCCAGCATTCTGTGAGGCCGAGGTGTGTGGATCACCAGAGATCAGGAGTTTGAAACCAACCTGAGCAAGAGCAAGAACCCAGTTCTACAGAAAAGCTGGATATTATGGCAGGTGTCTGTAGCAATCCTAGCATTTTATGAAGCTGAGGCAAGAGGACCACCTGAGCCCAAGACTTTGAGGTTGTTGTGAGCTATGACACCATAGCACTCTACCCAGGGTGATAAAGTAAAACTCTATCTCAAAAAAAAAAAAAAAAAAAAAAAAGGGCTCAGCGCCTGTGGCTCTAGCGGCTAAGGTGCTACCCATATACACCTGAGCTGGCAGGTTCGAATCCAGCCTGGGCCAACCAAACAATGACGGCTGCAACCAAAAAATGGCCAGGCCGTAGCTGTAGTCCCAGCTACTTGGCAGGTGGAGGCAGGAGAATCACTTGATGCCCAGGAGTTGGAGGCTGCTGTGAGCTGTGATGCCACAGCACTCTATCCAGGGTGATAGCTTGAGGCTCTGTCTCAATAAATAAATAAATTAATTAATTAAAAAAAAAAGGATTTTTCACACACCAACTCAACATATTTGTTAGCCATACTGAGCAGAAAGTATTTTGTGAATAAACATATTTGGAAAATGCTTATACTGTAAAACAGACCCTAAATTATGATTACTGTATAACCCTATGGAACAAAGCTTTTCCTTGAGTAGGGATGGGGGGGTTTATGTGTCATATTTATTAATATCTGACAGGATTACGATAGTTTAAGAGACTCCAAATTAATAGATCCTTAGAGCTTGGCTCCTAGTAAGTTCGGCTCTTCCATATTCTGATGTAAATTTCATTTTTTCAAATCCTAAGAATTGTTAATCAACCTTGTTATAAATTATGAACTTTCCCACCCTCTTCTTTTAAAATTCTACCCTAATCCTGTCAAGTTTGATTTTTGTAGAAGACAGGTTAATATTTATAAAAGTTTATAATACTAAATCGAAAAGATCTTTTTAAACCTTCACTCTAGATAAATTATTACCAAAATGGAATTCCTGATTTGATGTTTTCCCAATAACAAGTATTGCTGTAAACTCAAAATCGATACAAGGTTCCCCATGGGGATCCTGTTCAAAGATAAATCCTAAAACACTTAGCATTCAGAATCTTACCACCTTCTCTTAGGCAACATGGGGCAAGCACATTCATGAAAAGAAAAATTTTTAAGAATTTTCCTAAAACCTACCTTTTGTTTATCTTTTTGAAGTTGTTTCTCCAGATCTTTGGCTTTAATTGTAGCGCCTTGTAATTTTTCCCCAACTTGAACATCTTCCAACTCTAGTTCTATGTATTTTTCTTTATTCTCCTCAATAAATTTTGTAATTTTATTCAGTTTCCTAGCAAAACAAGTAAATTATTAGCTTTTACTTTCCATATTCAGATATCTTAAAGCCATGTTATCTTCCCTTCCTGGAACACTTCTATAAATATGTCTTAGAGGTTTTGTAGGGAGGACCCTAAAATCTTCTTCCTCTAGGTGGATCCTCCATCCACAGATGAAAAAGCTATTAGAAGTTGTGATTATGAGTTCTGAAGTGGACAGGAAATACATTTTCCAGTGACTAAAATATCTAGATATATTAAAATTTTACCTTAAAAGTTAATGGATAAAAAAGAACCTTACATGGCTTGGTGC